TTATTTTGTAGAGTTAATGATCTCTTCCACGCCAGCCTTTCCCCACCGAGGAGACTTCTGCGCTAAAGAACCGGCAACGTGGGGCCTCAATGCGGAGTCACGCAGGAGAATCCCAGGATAACAAAGGGAGACCAAATACGGAGTGGAAAGGACATCTGGACTCCCGGATGCCGGGCAAAACAAGTCTGTGACCTGAGGCTTTCCCTTGCCCCTGGATCTGATTCATTATCTCCACACAATTTTTCTTCCAGTTTAAGTAAATTAAATGGGATGACACTATCAATCAGGGGTTGATTAATAAAGGTTTGGGAAATAAAGTAGTTGCTTCCTTATATTTCGTGGGGGAAGAGGGGGTGAAGGGTAGCCATGCGCTGCAGAATGAGAACCTATCTTTTAGGTTCTTAATGAAGAGGGAAAATGAGCAGACACATTACCTGTTGGTATTGGCAAATACTCTACAAACTTCTGGGGCAAATTCCCTCCAGACACTCCAGCCACCCAACAGACGGGTGGGTCCCAACCCAGAGTTACTGCAAGGGATTCCAGTCTATGTCTTGTTTTCTCAGTCAGCAGACACTATAATGAGCAGGTACTTAAAAAGCTCTCATGGCGAGTGGCCTTCTTTCTCAAAAAGATTGAGATTTACACGGACAGAGATTTCCAACCTTCCTCAGTTTACCAAATTCCAACTTAAAATGTGTGTTAAATGTAATGTAGGAGGATATATAGTTGAGCATAATTACTATGTGAAAGAAAGATCTATGTTTGGTAATAGAGATTTTTGGGGGGTGGGGGAGGAGCTAGATATCCTTAATTCTGACAAGCAAAACCCATCAAGGGGTAAAAATGTGATATCAGCACGGTGTCAGGTACAAAACGATCCTAGGAGCAACTCCAACCTTGGAATACAAAGTGTGAAACAGTGCAGAAGAAAGAACAAGTTATCTGAAGTCAGAAGACCCAGGACTGAGTGCAGCAATTCCAGCCACTAGCTCTGTAAGCTTAGACAAACCCAAGGTCACCTCCTCATTTATAAAATGTAGTAAATAAAGACGTAAATGCTTTCAAAGTAGTCGGGCTCAAATTAGATAATGGACGAAGAAGTGCTTTATCAACTGGAAGGAGTTAAAGAAAAGGTACTTGTTATCAAGATTGTAATAAAAACTGACTTTTCTGTTTCTACTGCAGTTTTACTCACACACAATTGTCCATTGCATTTCTGGTAACTCTTGACCTTCAGTGATGTTGCCACCAAAGAGCAAGAAAACGTTTTGGTTCACTTGGCAGGAATTACAAGATGATTTCTCCGACCATCCATCTTGCAACTGTGAATTTCCCCCTTCTGTCCTCTCAGTTGTACAAGTCTATGATTCCACTTCCACTTCCCTTGAAGGGAATTCCCACAGATGTCAACCCCTGGCCTTTACAAGCTCATTTTTCTTCTCCTGCAGGAGGCAAAGGCTAGAAGGGAATGAGGTGGTCTCTCTGCTCTCAAAGTATCAGACTTCCTCCACAAAGGGGTAATTTTCCGATTTTAGCATGAAGAGCACAATATCACTTCATCTCACACCAGAGGGAAAGGACTGGTAAAACTACTTTAGTTGGGATTTCTTCATCTCCACTAAACGCCCAGGAAGGTGAGTGAGCTGAAAGACAGGGTGCACAGAGTGAATTACACTTGGGCTCAGAAGACCTTTTTAGGACTCATCCTGAGACAGGAAGTGATGAAATCAGCTCTCACATGAACTGAGAGGCTGTCATGTGCACTCACCCACTTCCTGTCTCGACTGGTGTAAGAGGAGGGTGGTGAGGGGAAAGCAGAGCTTGGGGAAGTAGGTTGTGGGGAGAAGGAAGAAGAGGCTGATGAGAGGCTGTGGGAAAAGTCCCAGTGCTGTCCCTTACCCCTGTTCCCTCATCCTTCTGGGGCTGAGATAAGTAAGCTGGTTTCTTTCTACTCTCCACCCCTTATTGTGAAAAGCAGCTGAGTTGAATTATATCCTCTTGTGCTACTGAAAATGCTAACAGAAGAAAGTACAAACTACAGCCTGCTTGTTTTTTAGTTTAGAGTTCAAGTGTGGACGTTTACGAATCTTCTGCTTTACCCTAAGTCCACTCCAAAGAGTCAAGCGGAAGAAGGTATAGAAAGGACAGATGATTCCAGTAGGCGGGCTCCAGGTTTCCTCTATCTCCCTGGGCCAACGTTATTAATAGTTATTATTCTCATCTCATCCATTAGGGAGAAGTGACAGAGTTAGCGGAGAGATAATTTCAGAGGAATGTTGGTAGTACTGTCCCAAAGGGAACGGACAGTATCACAGTGGGAATGCGTATTGGGTGTGGTCAACAGGAAGCCAATGTGTAAGGTACATGATTTCAGGCCTGTAGGCCCTACTCATTCTTGCTAAGGTTCAGGCCCTCTTCTTGTGGTATCAATATCATAACAAGAAAAGCCACAAGCAAACGAAGCAGATGGTAAGCAAAGGTGGGGCAACATGGGGTGTCAGGAGGGAAGGACTGGGGAAGAGTCTGGGTGAGATTTGCACCGTGAACAAAGATGGACTCAAAAGGAGATTCTATTTGGTTGCAAAAAAATTTTGAATTTTGTGAAGAACCACGTGCTTAGTGACATCCTGGGTGATGCTGACCGGCTGACCCTCCCACTGTCACTTCACCCCCTGTGCACTTCGGATGTCCCACCAGTCCTACCCAGTGGCCACTGCTGGGAAAGAGACCCTGGCAGGGAAACAAGGGCTTATCCAGCAGGAGCTGGATTTGGAACACTGGTTTGGTGGTGGCCTTGATTAGGCCCCTCCTGTCACTGCCAGAGGTGTGTGCTCAGCCCCACCACAATTGACAGAGGAGTCAATTGAAGCCACCTGGAACCTACAATTTGAAAGTCATGGTCAATGCCAGGCTCTGGGATAATCTTCCTGGCAAACTACAAAGTTTTAGAAAGCAACTTTTTTCCCCAACTCATTTATAAGTTAGACAAAGTTACTTTTTTTTAGCACAGTAGTAAAGTAGAAAGTTAAAGAATAGATACAGAGACCCCAAGTTGGACCTTAAAAACTTGGGACTATGTCAAGATAAGGCTTTATGAGGTAAGCTACGCAAAATCAAATAAAAAATACCCATGTGACAAATTAAAGTCCTTCTCCAGGTATGGTACACACCCCGATGGGCATAATTTCCATATAACCGTAGACCCTATACAACGCTATAGAACTGCAGGCACACACAGATCCGACCCTCCACCGCACTTGAACTAGGACCACTCAGGCTTCCAGGCCACATGGCCCACTTTTCCATATTTCTATCAGCCCCCTTCCCTTTCTGAGAAGTGGATACAACCAACCTTCACTACATTCCTCAAGTGTCTCATCCATGGGGGATGCCGAACTTGCCGCCCCAATCAAGGGCCTTCTTGATCAATGTCAAGTGTGACAATTTCTGCTTTCTCCATTTCTGACCCCCTATCTACATAGGATCTAGAGCTGCATCCATCCAAGTAATCATCCTCTTACTATAGAGCAGTGGTTTTCAAACTATGGTCTTGGAACACTTGGGAGTCTACAGATCTTCTCAGGGCCAGTGTAGAGAGTCTGAGTAAAGTCAGGGCTGTTGGACTCTTTCCCTTCCCCCAGTTCTACCATAGCAATCTTATTTCATTCCACATTAGAGGTTGGGGTTCCAGACCACCTTTGAATTTCTTACTCAGATAAGGAACCTATGAAAGCTTGCCAGGTTTGGGTAGATGAGCTGGGGGACTTCATCACACACCTTTACCAGAATGATAAAGGTGGGGACTGTCATCCCCAAGATTCCCTCAGCTTCCACCAAGAGGCTCTGAAGTGCTTGTGTCCTGCCAGTCTGAGATCAGATTAGACCCCCAACAACATCTCCTAAAAACAGGAATTACCATTCCAATATTTGATGTGTGAATAAATGGACTTCCTAAGTGGTTATGGCTATCGAGTCAGAGCCATGAGCCACGACACAACGCCAGTTTTCGGACACTGATCCCCAACTCAGCCCAAGATACGTTACTGTAGAACATGGGTTCTGATCCTCTCTTTCTTGAAGAACTTTACCGCATACTAATTCTTTCCTTTGAGCTCATCTTCTCAAGAAGCCCTTATCAATTTCCCAACTTAAAGAGGGTCTGAGGGAAGAAATGGGAGTAAGGTATGAAGATCATAAAGGCAGCCTTTTCCTGGAACTTCTGGAAATCTCTTGGGACACTTCAGGCTTTATGGCACATGGCCTTCCCAACATGAGCTACCCATGGCCAGTATTGAGGAACAAAACAAGCAAATTACTGAAAATGACTAACAGATACAATTAGACTATGAATATTCAGTAGCTGGCATCATTCAAATGCACATTTCTTTGACACACCAGGTAAATTGCTGGGTTTCTGGGTAACTTCCCTCTGCCCTTAAATGTGCTTCAGGAAATGTGTGGTTCCAAATGAAACAAACTTGCAACTTCTGGGCTAGTACTAGAAATATTATAAATGGATATTTCTTAGAACCCAAAAGACGTATCCAGCAAGAAGAATAAGGGAAAGAATATAGTTCCTCTGTTTTCAAGAATACTAAGGACTTAAAAGCACCTGTACCTTAGGTTAGTAACTTACTACTGCATGTGCATCACTTAGAATATGCTGTGCTCAGACCGCTTGGGACTGCGTCTCCAAAAGGCAGCAACAAGTGACCCCTTCCCTCGCACTGTCTCTCTAGCTGGTGCAGGCGTGAACCTAAGAGACTGCCTTGTTTTAGGGAAGGTGACACCCAAGCCAGAGCCGGACACACGCACACACATGTGCCTTCAGTGTGAAACATCCATCATTCTCTCCAAGGAAGTGCACTTTGCAAGGCCTTTTTCTGGGAACCACTACTGGGAAACAGCCAGTACAAATGCCTTCTCCCTGGAACAGTGTGACTCGGACGCGGGAGTCTCCGCGAACTTACATGCACCCTGGGTTTTTAATACTTCACCTGGGCAGAAAAGTCAATTAGCTTGGGAAGCAGCACCTTGCCCCCTTCGTCACTCTTCAGGAAATCCAGCAAACTGCCTGTTGGTAGAGGAGGGACCGGTGAGTGTAGTTCAAACACACAAGACCAAAATCCGAACAAAAGTCAAAGGACCATGACTATTAGTGAGGGAGCGCACACAATGATTGCCTTTGTGATTCTGTATGACCATAGTGCCTTTTCCTGAAGTTGGTCAAATCCAGGCCCCTCTAACCTGTTACCTTCGACCTGATGTGAAATGTAGCATGTGGGCCAGGTAAGAAAGGGTGACGGCGGGGGGGTGGGGGAACAGTGTTTCTCTAGCTCTGCATTTCAGGGCACTTTGCACCTGCCACCACAATCCACCTAGAGCAGCTGTCTGACCTTCAGAGCTGCCCAGAGACAGAAACCAGCAGGTCCTCCCAAGGGGCCTGCCTGGAGCGGCACTGGGCGCGGCTCTCTCCTATCTGTGTCCGTCCAGCCAAAGCACAGAAGCTAGCGCCTGCGACAGGGGCTCAATGAGTAGCTGGTGAGCATACTGTGCTTTGCACCTAAAAGAAAGTGTCTCGATAAACCCTCCTACTTCCTACGGCTTCATAGCTAAAACAAGCCCTGCTTTTTCTCCTAGAATTTAAAGTGTCAACCTTGGACAAGCTGCTTACCCATAATGCCTTAGTCCCTGTAAAGAGGGCATGTCCTACCAGCTATTGTCAGAGGTCTTGTGAGGATAGATTTAAAAAGCATGCGCCATGGTGCCTGGTGAGTGGTTAAATACCCAGTAAATGTTCTGCTCCTTCATCCTCAACACAGAACAATGGCACTTAGCTCTGAGACTGCTAAGAAGATTAAGAGATATCACCCAAGGAACACAGCAAGAACGCTCTGGTATACAGTAAGTACTCAGTAAAGGCTAAGTGATGTTATGAGGAGAAATTCGTATTTACATTTATGATTCAAATACTTCCAGCCGCTTAATTCAACAAGTACTTACTGAACCACAAAGTTCAGTTTCTGGGTTATGGCAACCTAAGCCACAGGGGTTAGTTTTTTTGTTTGTTTTTAAACAACATCCTTTTTTTGGAAGGACTCTCAGTGACTGATACTCTGAATGGGTGTGGGTAAGCAGCTTGTCCTTTCAAAATATATTAAATAAGAAAATGTTATATTTATCTTTCTAATCTACTAAGCGGAGACATCACAGTATGATCTCCATGATGCAGGATTCTTAATTTGGTACTATTGTTTATGGTTTTTTTTTTTTTCCTTTCTTCCTTCATTCCTTCTAAAGAATTTTAAAGAACCATTTGGTAGTTTGGTAGTATGTCTAACTGATCTGGAGGAAGAAGGGTAGTAATTCACACCCTGTTATCTGAAGGTAATATCAGCCAGAGAAAACATGGTTGCTGGACACCTCTTGGTTAGTGATTCTGATTACAGAGGAATATAACCTCCAACAGTTTCAAAAATGTTCCCATTTTAAAGTGTCACCCTGAACACATAGATAATATTAGAGAGGGAAATGAATGCATTTTAGGATCCCGAGAACTCCCATTTTAAAGATATAACAAAAATATTCTTATTTGAGATACATATTTTTTGGACAAATATTTATTAGGGGGCTTCTATATTTTGCATGCAATTCTTATGGCTAATATGACTAAGAAGACAAACACAGAGAATATAGAAAGATCATGTATTATTTCTATAATATAGATAACACTTAACAATATTTCTGGTGAGGTGGCTTATTAAAATGCTTGGTTTCCCCATGGGTTCTGATTTTTCACTAGTGAGCATGCTGTTTTGGAATTAAAATTATTGGAATATTCTGTGAACATTTAAACTTTTTACTTTGGGACACTGGAGTGGCTAGGTCTGTTAAGCATCTGCTTTTGGCTCCGGTCAGGATCCCAGGGTCCTGGGATCGAGGCCCACATGGGGCTCTCTGCTTAGCGGGGAGTCTGCTTCTCCTTCTACTCCTCACCTCACCCCCTGTTCGTGATCTCTCTCTCTCTCAAATAAATAAAGATCTTTTAAAAAATTTAAAAAATAAACATTTTACTTTTGGAGCCTGAAGCCTTTCAAAAACCCTGGGTTTGGGGGATGTGCTTACCCTTGGCCATGTACTCAGTGATGATGTAGATAGGCTCTTCTCTGGTAACCACGGCATAGAGCCTCACCAGCTTGTCGTGCTGAAGGGTTTTCATGAGGTTGGCTTCCTCCAGGAATGCTTGCACAGACATAGTGCCCGGTTTCAGGGTTTTCACAGCCACTTTGGTACTATTGTTATAGTAACCTAGCAAGACAGCAGAAGAGAGGGCATGTTTGATCCAACTGAAAACCAAAAAGTTCATGCAAGGTTAAAAGATAGACATAAAACTCTAGACAGTGTTAACATGAGGGGAGGCCAAGTCAAGGGTGTATGAGAATTCTCTGTACCATCTTTACAAAAAAATCTAAAATTATTGCAAAATCAACAAGGTTTCATAAAGCATTATTTTGGAGAAATAAAACCCCACAAGCTTCTGTATGCAATCCATCATGGGGACAAAGATTTTCCTTTAATGAATAAAATGTTCTTTATCCCAAAACAAACAAACAAAAAAATGCATAGCACAGCTCTCTTACACACACACACACACACACACACACACACTCACAGGTCTGGAAGAAAACACTAAAATATGCCAAGTGCCAGCCATCTCCAGTGGCACAATTAGAGTGACTTCATTTGTGTTCACGATACTTTTAACTACCAAATTTTCTACATTGAATATGTATTATTTTTGTAATCAGGAAAAAAAAAGGTTTGCATTTTAAGAAATTGTATATACTAACTTTGAAGTATAATATACTAGAGTCAAATAAGCGTCTCCTCAAGCTTCCCAAGAGAACTGGACTTGGGTGACTCTCCATGAGCAAAGGCTTCTGTATCAAAATGTCTGGGACCCACCGCTTGCCACGCCCTCCCGTGCCCAGAAGCAGAGAGTCCTGCAGTAAAGAAACCTGTCAGCCCTGGCTAACCTTAGTGCTTTCCACACCTTCTTGACCACAGGCCAAACTGTCATGTACCTTTTCACACCCTGCGAAATGCACTTTGGGAAATACTAACACCTTCATATAGTTTTCCCAAGGTCCCTTTTTCTGGAACCTGCCCCAATGGTGTGCTTAATTCCGAACCTCATTTTCTCCTGGAGCCCCCTCTTCTCAGTGGTTTGACAAAGCAGAAATAGAGATAATCACATTCCCCTTTCCTTTCCTCTCTTTCTGTACTTCTCTTGGAAGTGCAAGAAAAAGGTGAGGGGGGAGTGGCAGCAGGTTCCCTGCGGGTTGTTCTACCCCTATTACAGTTTTTGTTTTGTTTAACTTGCCCTACGAAATGGTGATGTCTAGGGTCTAGTGTCTAGTCTCTTTGTTAGATCATATAACTATCTGTGTCTGTAAAGAGCACACAGATGACTGGAAGCATGTTCAATAAAACATCAACAGTGGTGAGGATCTCTGGGTGGCAGAAATTGGAGTGACTTTTACTTTCTTTTGTTCTGTTCCATTTTGATTCATTTTGTGAATGAGTATGTATCTTTCTTTACAAAGGGAATTTTTTTTTTAAGGAAATTACGTCTCTATTTCCACACTTCCAAATGTGTCAGAAAAAGTATTAGTTTACAGCTAACAGTTGACCATACTTACTAACTTTTCTTCTGATCATTGATACTTATTACTCCATTAAAACCTTTCCCTTGATATTTTACTTTGATTTGTATTTAATAGTAGCTTATAGTGTTGTACAGGAAAATGAAAAAATGTAATATGTGAAGTAAAGTAAGTGTTAGAATTATGGAGAAGCCAGTAATAGAAAGCTGACAAAATAGAAAACTGTACTAGGTTATTTTCAAAAGCCACAACCTATAAAAAATAATGGAATCATGAATCTATTAAATTGATTTTCCATTTAAATGCATAATTACACACAATATGATCTTTCTTACAGATCTTAAGTGTAAATTTAGAGTAAATGCCACCAATGAAAGTACTTTAACATTGCATTTGAACCAAGAAAAGTCATTATCTCAAAACTACAATAAGATTCACCTCACACTTGTCAGAATGGCTAAAAGAAAAAAGAAAAAACATCAAGCGTTGGCCAGGATGTGGGGAAAAGGGAACCCTATTGGACAGTTGGTGGGAATGTAAACTGGTGTAGCCACTGTGGAAAATGGTATGGGGGTCCCTCAAAAAAAAAAAAATGAAAAATGAAACTACCCCATGATCCAGGAATTGCACTATTGCACTATCTACCCCTAAAATTGCACTATCTACCCCTAAAATATAAAAACACTAATTCAAAGGGAAACATGCACCCCTATGTCCATAGTAGCATTATTTAAACAGCCAAACAATGGAAGCAACCCAAGTGTCCATTGATAGATTAATGGATAAAGAAGATATGAGATATCTTCTTTATACACACACACACACACACACACACACACACACACACACACACGCACAATGGAATACTATTCAGTCATAAAAAAAGAATGCAATCTTGCCATCTGCAACAACATGGTTGGAGCTAGAGGGTATAATGCTAACTGAAATAAGTCAGAGAGAGACAAATAGCGTATGATTTCACTCACATGTGGTATTTAAGAAACAAAACAAACAAGCAAAGAAAAAAAAAGAGAGAGAGACAAACCAAGAAATAGACTCTTAACTGTTGAGAACAAACTGAGGGTTTCCAGAGGGGAGAGGGATGGTGGGAAGGGTGAAATAGGTGATGGGGATTAAGAGCACACTCATCATAAAAAAATTAAAAATTAAAAAAATTAAAATAAAAAAGATTCATTATAAATTTAAAGGTTTATACGCAGGTATTCAGTTACAGGAATAAATCTAATAAATGAATTTAGGAAGTCAGAGGATACAAAGTTAATAAACAGAAATCTGTTGTATCTCTATATACTAATAGTGAAGTAGCAGGAAGAGTAGTTAAGGAAACAATCCCATTTATAATTGTACCAAAAAGAATAAAATATCTAGGAATAAATTTAACCAAGGAGGTAAAAGACCTATTCTCTGAATACTATAAAACACTGATGAAAGAAATTAAAGATGATATAAACCAACAGAAAGATACACTGTGCTCATGGATTGGAAGAATTCATATTGTTAAAATGAACTTACTATGCAAAGCAATCTACAGATTCAATGTAATCTCAATCAAAATGCCAATAGCATTTTTTACAGAACTAGAACAAATAACTTGAAAATTTGTATGGAACCACAAAAGACCCTGAATAGCCAAAGCAATCCTGAGAAAGAACAAAGCTGGAAGCATCACAATCCCAGGTATCAAGGTATAGCACGAAGTTATAGTAATCAAAACAGTATGGTACTGGCACAAAAACAGACATACACATCAACAGAACAGAATAGAGAGCCCAGAAATAAACTCATACTTGGATGGTCAATTAATCTATGACAAGGCAAGAATTTATACAATGAGGAAAAGACAGTTTTTATAATAAATGGAGTTAAGAGAATTGGACAGCTACAGGCAAAACAATGAAACTGGACTACTTTCTGATACCATACACAAAAATAAACTCAAAATGGATTAAAGACTTAGATATAAGACCTAAAACTATAAAACTCCTAAAATAAAACATAGCCAGTAAACACTTGGACATCAGCCTTCACAACATATTTATAAATATGTCTCCTCAGGAAAGGAAAACAAAAGCAAAACTAATCTACTGGGACTACATCAAAATAAACAGCTTTTGCATAGCAAAGGAAACCATCAACAAAATGAAAAGACAACTACTCAGTGGGAGAAGATACTTGCAAGTGATATATCCAATAAGGGGTTAATATTCAAATATATAAGGAACTTCTATAGCTCAACACCAGAAAAACCAAATAATCTGATTAAAAATGGGTAGGGGACCTGAACAGACATTTTTCCAAAGAAGACTTACAGACATATGAAAAGATGCTCAACATCACTAATTATCAGGAAAATGCAAATCAAAACTACAGTGAGATCTCACTTCACACCTGTCAGAATGGCTAGTATCAAAAAGACAAGAAACAATAAGTGTTGGTGAGGATGTGGAGAAAAAGGAACCCTCATGCACTGTTGGTAGGGATGTAAATTTGTGCAGCCACTGTGGGAAACAGTATGGAGGTTTCTCAAAAAATTAAAAATAGAAATACCATATGATCCAGCAATTCCACTTTTGGGTATTTACCCAGAGAAAATGAAACACGAATTGTGAAAGATAAATGCACGCCTATGTTTCTTACAGCATTATTTACAATAGCCAAGATACGGAAGCAACCTAAGTGTCCATCAGTAGATGACTAGATTAGGAAGTGGTAGACACACATACACACACACACACACGTACACACACATAGGAATTTACTCGGCCATAAAAAAAAGATGAGATCTTGCCATCAGCGACAGCATGAATGGACCTAGAGAGCATTATGCTAAGTGAAATATGTCAGACAAAGAAAGACAAATACTATATGATTTCACTTAGATGTGGAATCTAAAAAAAAACAAAACAAATGAACAAACAGCAACAACAAAAAATAGACTCAACAGAGAACAAACTGATGGTTGCCAGAGGGGAAGGGGGTGTGAGGAAGGGCAAAATAAGTGTAGAGAATAAAGAGGTACAACGTCCAGTTATAAAATAAATAAGTCACGGAGATGGAAAGGAGAGCACAGGGAATATTGTCAATAATATTGTAATTACATTACATGGTGACAGATAGTGACTGCACTTACAAGGGTGAGCAGTGAGTAATACACAGAATGGTCAAATCACTATTTTGTGCATCTAAAAGCAATATAACACTGTGTGCCAACTATCCTCCAATAACAAATACAAGAAATAAATTACATAAAATGCAAAAAAAAAAAAAAGGTTTATACATAGATCCTCAGTTACATGATTGTACCAGTGGCAAAACAGCAAGAAAATACATTCTTTGACACATGTAAATGACAAAGGACTAGCGTCCAAAATATATAAAGAATTCCTATAAATCAATAAGAAAAATTGGAAAATAGGCAAAGACTTGCATAGACATTTTAAAAAGAAGTCCACTGGGTGATGGACCTTAAGTAGGGCAAGTGATGTAATGGACACTGGCTGTTATATAAGACTATATATATATATATATATATATATATATATATATATATATATATGTCTATATATCATATAATATATATTATATTATATGATATATATATGTCATATAATCATGAACTCT